CTCACATTGCTTTCCTGTACATGTGTGTTACCTTCTAAGTTAATTCTTCTTGATCTAACCTTTTCTCTAGTTCCTGGTCCCCTTCTCCTATTGGCCTCAGTCGTTTTAAAGTATCTGCATTAGTTTCTCTGCATTGAGGGCAACAACTGCTATCTAGTTTTTTGGGTGTCTTACCTATCCTCACCCCTCCCTTGTGTGCTCTTGCTTTATCATGTGATCAAAGTCCAATCCCATTGTTGTGTTTGCCCTTGATCTAATGTCCGCATATGAGGGAGAACATATGATTTTTGGTCTTTTGGGCCAGGCTAACCTCACTCAGAATAATGTTCTCCAGTTCCATCCATTTAGCTGCGAATGATAACATTTCGTTCTTCTTCAGGGCTGCATAAAATTCCATTGTGTATAAATACCACATTTTCTTAATCCATTCATCAGTAGTGGGGCATCTTGGTTGCTTTCATAACTTGGCTATTGTGACTAGTGCTGCAATAAACATGGGTGTGCAGGTGCCTCTGGAGTAACCTGAGTTACATTGTTTTGGATATATCCCCAAGAGTGGTATTGCTGGATCATATGGTAGATCTATGTTTAGATTTTTAAGAAGCCTCCAAATTTTTTTCCAGAGTGGTTGTACTAGTTTACATTCCCACCAGCAGTGTAAGAGGGTTCCTTTTTTCCCCACATCCTCGCCAGCACCTGTTGTTAGTGGTGTTGCTAATGAGGCTATTCTAACAGGGGTGAGGTGGAATCTTAGTGTGGTTTTAATTTGCATTTCCTTTATTGCTAGGGATGGCATACATCAGCTTTTAAACCTGTATCCAAATCCAGTTTGGGGGAAATAATAGTTTTTGACTAATTTTGATGAGTCATTGTTTGAAAAATGTAATCATCTGCATACTATAAACTGGAACTTTAGCGTTTACTTAGAGTGGATTAAATGACTACTTAACTAGACAAAAAGGGACTATTACAGAGCCATTCATTAGCAAAACTGTACAAGTATGACAACAATAATCAGTCTCATACATGATTCTTCTCTGTGTAAAAAGAGCTTCCTTTTAGATGATAGCAGTAACAGTAATAATAATTAGAAGAAGACAAAAATTGTAGAAGTTGAAGGAAGCAACAACTAGTGTATGCTGTGATGTATGACTCAGAAGCCCCTACTCTTCAAGACTGAAGTGCTCATCTCTCTCTCCTCTCTCTCTCTCTCTCTCTCTCTCTCTCTCTCTCTCTCTAGTCCTGGGGCTTGAACTCAGGGCTTACACCTTGAGCCACTTCACCAGCCCTTTTTTGTGGATTTTTTCCAAGATTCCAAGATAGGGTCTCACGAACTATTTGCTTTGGTTGGCTTCAAACTGTGATCCTCCTGATCTCTGCCTCCTGAATAGTTAGGATTACGAATATGAGCCACTGGCACCCGGCTCCTCCATCTCTTGAGGGTGTTAACAATTGTTGTGTTTGCAGCTGAGTATCTTTTTCACAGATTACTCCTGTCTGAAAAGAATTGACGTTCCCAACGTTGCATGCCCTTAGCAGAAGTCTGCCTTCATTCAGTGACTAATCAGTACAGGAGCATAAAAGTTTGACCCCTTTTTCCTAATTTGGGACTCTGCAGAGTGGTCCTGCAGAGTTCCATGTGGAATCACTTCTCAAGTTCTTCCTATGTATATTTCTGCTTTCTTTTCTTCCCCACAGGTATTGAACCCCAAACTACTTCCCAATAAAAAAGTTGAAAGAGAAAACTCACTTCATAGTCCTATTTCTGGAAAGATCAACCTGAAATATCACTATGTATTGCTAATTACAAGTCAAGTCCTGTTGTGTTTTACATGTTAACACATTTAATCCTCACAATATTATGAAGTAGGTAAAATTATTATGCTCATTTTACAAATGAGGATACTAAGGTGTAAAGGAGTTAAGGAACTTGCCCAAGGTCTCACATCTAGTAAATATCAGAGAGAGAGAGACACGGTTTGTTCTAAACACTATGATTCTAAACCACATAATCTTAACCACTGTGCTACAATTTCTTTAAACCTTGATACCATGGAGTTTGATTTTCAATAATTTTTTTAAAAAGGCAATAGGCTCTCTGACTTCAATTTATTTCAATTTAATTTTGTTTGACAAATAGCCCTTCTTGATTAAGAAAACATGGCATTTATACACAATGGAATTTTACTCAGCCACAAAGAAGAATGAAATTTGTCATTCACAGGTAAATGGGTAGAACTGGAGAACATCATCTTAGGTGAAGTTAGTCAGGCTCAGAAGACCAAAAACCACATGTTCTCCCTCATATGCAGATTGTAGACCTAAAGCAAATGTAGCAATATTATGGGACATGGGTCACACTAAGGGGAGGCAGTGCACGGAAGAGATAGGGCAAGGGAAGGAAATAAAAAACTTGGATGGTTTGATGTGCTCACTCTACAGGAATGAATATAGAAATCTTAAACTGGTCAGGGCTACCATGCGAAGGGGACTAGGGAGGAGTGAAGAGGACTGGTAGAGATGAACCAATTGGGGTTGTAATACACATATGCATGGAAACAACACAAGGAATCTACCTGTGTAGCTATCTTTATCTTAAATTAGCAAAAACACCATGTTTCTCTAAAAAAGAAAAGAAAAAGAAAAAAATAACCCTTCTTTTCATGAGAACACTCAGAAAGAACTACTATACTAAAATTAGAGCATCTGCCTTCCCTGTACCCCTTATTTTTCAAGTAGGAGTCAAAGTAATCCTGTCAAAATTAAGTCATATCCTTCCCATTCCTCACATCAAAATCCTTCAATAGTTTCCCATATCATTAACAGCACAAATAAAATTCTCATATGACATAATTTTTATTAGATATATATGCTGTTCCTCTACTAGGCCTGTCCCTATGTCTCTCCCTGTAAGACACTTCCCACCACATTGACAGCAAGCTTGGTCATGTGACTTGCGTTTAAACATACTATGGTATGTTTAAGCAGAAGCTTTAAGAACTATCACATCATTCCACTATGCTCTTTTACCTCTGCTCCAAGAACAGATTTCCTGTACAGGTGCCAGAATGAAAACAATATAAACAGAATCACAGAGACACCATGAAGATGACTGGTAGAGATGCAAAATGAGCCAAAAATGTGGAGATTTTTTTAAAACTACAGTATAACTCAGAGAAAGCTAACTCATATATCTTAATGGGACCGTATATGACATGCAAAACCCCTCACCCTTAAATCTTTGACTTCGTTTTCTACCACTGCTCCTGAAGATTTTAATCCAGATTTGAATCAGTTTACCCAATCTGGGCCCCCACACCCATCATCTTCTCCAAGGACCACTTTGAACACTCTAGGAATTAGGTTTGATGTGCCTCCTCTTAATTGCCATAGAAATCTCTACTATAGCACTAAATACATCATACTAAAACTGCTGGTTTAAATTATTCGCCATACCCTACTCAGTCCCTGAGTTCTAAAGCAGATGCTATACCCTGTATATGTGTATACTTGTATAACCAGAATACACTACCGTTCTCATTGCACAAAAGAAATTTAATAAATGTTATGCTTGATTTATTACACTTTTATTTTTCATTACATTTTAGTACAGCAAAGCAAATACAGGTAAACATCAATATTCTTTACACAATAGCAGACAGAAAAGGAGGCCAGCCACAACTTAGAATGCTATTGGGATTGTTGTTATATTTGCTTGTTTGTTTAAACATCTGAAGCTAGATCACTTTACTGAAGTTTTTCAAGCTTTCAAGGAAAAGCCTCTATCTATAGCTATATGCTGTATATTCTCTTCCAGATAATGCAGCAAGATGGAATGATTCCCAAAACATTTTATAACACTGTCAAAACTCTTATACCAAAATACAACAGAGACAGCAAGTAGTCAGTCACATTTACTTTACTGGACAGAATATTAAAACAAGTGAAACTTTTCAAGATACTGAACAAGAAATAAATATGAGAAGACATAATGGACCTGGAACACAAATGTCAAATACAATATGTACCCCCCCCAACCCCAACACATGAGACTTGGGCTCTACGCCCAGCCTTGCAAGGCCTCTCTGCGGCACATTTCTTTATCTCAAGTTCTGAACAAGGAACTGCCGGTGCCCAGCACCAGCTCTATTGGCCTCATCTTCCATTGCCTCTCTGTACTGCTCTGGCCAATCCTGTGGATCCTTTCTGTGGATTCTGGCCACATATCGCAGGGCTTTCATCTTGGAGGTTTCCAAGCGGGCTCTTGGGCCCCATACAAAATCATATTGCACTGGATCACTGTCAGGAACGCGTAAACTGTCTATGTAGCGCTGACTCAAATACCTACAGGTAATCACATGCTTTCTCCCATTTTGCACCCCTAATCCCCTCAGAAAGGCCCAGACTGCAGACTCTCTAGCATGGTTGCCCATTATAAAGATGAAGCTTAAAACCTGCATCAGGAAGTTGTTGCCAGGCCTATTTGGACTGTCTACGATCTCTTCGGTATCTTCCATTTCTCTTCGGTTGAACAAGGTGTAGGAGTGATTCCTGGGATCAAGTACCACTAGTTCTGTCCCATACACATGGTTCAGGGTGCGAGCAGCGCGATTCAGGAGGTCAGGAAACACTTTGCTGCACTCTCGGCCAATATAGTACAGAATTCCTTTCTTTGGTATGGGCAGCTTAGTTGAATCCATAAGCAGAAATAACTGCACCAACTTCCTTGACTTACTCTCCAGTCTTGACTCAGGCCATGAATGTGGGGGATATTTTGAGGGATAGCCAGTAAGGTCTGAATCATGCATTGCTATCTCTGCAGCAGCTTCTTCAAAAAAGGGCCTCCTAAAGTGAGGGACAGCTGGCCAATCATCAGCAGCAGCTCGAATAGCATCTTCTTCCAGAGCCTCATTGTATTGCTCTGGCCAGTCCATAGGGTCTTTGTTGTAGATCTTAGCCATGAACTTCAGAATTTTCATCTTGGTGGTTTCTACGTGGGATCGGGGGCCCCAGAAAAACTCGTACTCTACTGGTGTACAGTCAGTTATTGGCCTGTAGTCCAAGTAGCGTTGCCATACAAACTCGACAGAAAGAAGTCGCTTTGGGTTGCCAAAAATGGAAAGCCTCCTCTCGCGCTGCACCCCCATCCTCCAGAGCATTTCCCAAATCTCAGCCTCCTTGGCTTGGTTGCCATTTAGGAGTATCTGTCCTAGGATCATCATGAGGAGGCCCATCTTTGGCCCGTTTGGGCTGTCTTCTAACCCATCAAAGGGCACAGGTCCCAGTTTGTTAAGCAAGATGTAGGTGTGCTCCTCAGGGTCAAGCTCCCTCAGTTCAAACCTAAAAATGCACTCCAGGTGGGCCGCCGTTCGTCTTAGGATCTCAGGAAACTGGTTGCGATATTCTTTAACAATGAATTGCCGCATTTCAGATTCCCTGATAGGGTACTTGCTTTGATCCTTCACCAGCAGAAACTGCAACAACTCAGCTACATTCTGTTCCATAGGGTCCTGGGGCTTCAGGGTAAGGGCAACCTGGGCAGTGCCAAGGCCCATAATGGTAATGGAGTTGGAATTCTCCCGGTCTCTCAGGACCTGGAATTCCAAGGGGCCTTCCGCACCTTTGGGGCGTGCAGAGTTAGCAGAGGTCTTGGCCTTGGCAACACTGGAGCTTGGCAAAGCAATGGAACACTCTGAGGAGTCGGGATCCGCAGAAGCACTGGAGCTCAACAACGCATCAGGGCTCTCACAGACAGTGGGCATCCCGGAAGTGCTCGGACCCTCAGCAGCCGGCATCCGGGAAGTGCTGGAGCCCTCCTGCGGGATGCGCAGCATTGAGGTGCTTTGGCCTTCTACACAGAGCGGCAGCGCGCAGGTGCCGGGTGCCTCAGAAGCGGCGGGCGGCATGGAGGTGCTCCGACCCTCATCAGGGGTAGGCGGCCCAGCGGTACTCGGGCCCTCACCGGAGGGGGACGGCACGGAGGTGCCCTGTCCATCAGAGGCGGTGGGCAGCACAGCGGTGCTCGGGCCCTCATCAGAGGTGGGCTGCACAGAGGTGCTCAGGCCCTCAGAGGCAGTGGATGGCACGGAGGCGCTCGGGCCCTCACCGGAGGGGGGCGGCATGTTGATGACGGGTCCATCAGAGGCGGTGAGTGGCACAGAGGTGCTCAAGCCCTCACCAGGGGTGGGCGGCTCGGAGGTGCTCGGGCCCTCACCGGAGGGGGGCACGTTGATGCCCGGTCCCTCAGAGACGGTGAGCTGCCCGGAGGCGCTTGAGCCCTCAGAGGCAGAGGGCGGCACAGAGGTGCCTGGGCCCTCAGAGGCGCAGAGGCCCTGGAGATTCTGAGGATCGCTGAGACCCTGGGGAACGTCTGGGTCTGGCATGGCAGCGGGGAGATCGGGGGCGTTAGGGGCCTGCATTTCACCCCAGCTGCTGTTGTGCGCAGTGGCTTTTGCACTGCGGCGGCGGCGACGGCGCGAATTCTGGCTTACCAGCGACATGGTCCTGTCGACCGGCGGGTGGGAGCAGACACCGACAGGCCCGCAGAAAAAGGTGTGTAGGTGCCTCGGCACAGAATTGCCGCTAGCGGTAATGCTGCTGCTGTTGCCAAAACCAAAGTTCTGAGCAACTCACTGGAGCCGAAATTAGAAGTGGTGGAAAAGAAGGAAGATACGTACTAGCCAACAGTCAACGCTAGTCTGTATACTCGCTTCTCACACTCCGCCTTCTGCCGCAGTCCGCGCAGGCGCAGTCGGGCTCTGCGACAAGGCGACCCCGCCCAGCTCAGCCCCGCCCCTCCTTTGGGTCTGAAAAAGTGGACGTGGTGATTTCGCACCAAAAGCGCCCTGACGGGAGGGAAGCTTTGGTATAGGGAGACAAGGAGCTAGAAGCAGACAGGGAACAAAAATGCAGGTAATAACTGCTTTTCCCAGTTAGTGTATCTATTGGAAGAAGGTTTATATACAAAGTGCCAGGTAGCTAATATCCTTAGAATTTGCCTCGTTCCCAAAACTGCTTCAAGAAAAATGTGCATGGTCTCTGGAAAGGTGCAGCTCTCATCCCTGCCCCTATCCTTTCTGTCATTTTCTTCATTTAAGTCTAGTAACTCCTCTCCTACCACTGTGAGCTAGGAAAAACTCTTTCTAGAGGATCTGAAGGCCTGGTATTTAGTCCTAATTAGGAAGCCTGTAATAAGATTGAAAGTTTTACTATCCTCAGTCCCAGCCCTTACCCAATACACAGGAACTCAGCCTGCCTTGAGAAAGGCACTAAAACTGAAAGATTTGCTTAATCTCCTCATTCCCCAATCACCTACCCATTTAATAGAGCTTTTGTGCGTGTTTATTGAGATACTGAGCATTAATCATTGTTATCTATGCTGTTTTACTCTGTTGTTTTTCTTGCATTTTTGAGCACATCCAATCCTGACCCATTAGTTCAATCATTCAACAAACACTGATCATCTGTCTAGAAGTAGAGTTAATTTCTTTGTCCTCAAGGAGGTGACAATGTAAAGGTGGGACTCAGACAAAGATACAATGAAGGGAAGTTTTCTAGAAGTTTTTACAGAGTACAGTTGAGGTGAGGGTCAGTTCTACCTGTCAATCTAGAAAAGACTTCAATAGAGTTTGTGGTGTTTAAAAGATAAATGAGTGGGTATTTACCAAAAGGACAAGGAAAAGCATTTCAATTGAAAGCAGCACAAAAGTAGTGAGTTAAGAAGCAAACAGTGGAGTGCAGAGATAGGTTGATTTTAAATAGGTTGGGGGGTGGGGAAGAGAGAGAGAGAGAGAGAGAAAGACAGATTACTACTGTTGATTTTCTATTGATAATCTGCTTGCTCTTAATGTTCCCACAATAATGGAAATAGACTTTTTTAATACTTGTTTGGGTGGGAAAATAACTGATTTCAGCTGTGTGTCAGCACATCTGTCTCCAACTGGAGAAGCAGTTCCACATATGCCATGCATCCACTTCCTATAAATCTGGGAAAGCCCAATGCAGACATTATGCAAAGGAACCTATTCAGAGGGGGAGGCACCAAATGTCTAACTTATTTCTAAGCTTCAGAAGCAAGTATAACTAAACTAGGGTTCAGTGATTTCCAAAGATCCTGAAGTTGTCCAAACCTTATAAACTAGCAATTTTACATCTAGAAATAGATCCTAAGGATATCATAAGTGATAATAATGCAAAGATTTAGCTAAAATAGTTTTCACTTTTCTAAGATAGCAGAGCTAAAAACTATATGAATGCTAAATAATTAGAGGCCAAGTTGTGGTATTAAAATAAATAAATAAATCATTATGATAATATTAAAGAATTCCATTTCTGGTAATGTGTAGTTGAAAGTAATGTGCCTGCCAAAATTCAACTAGACATTTTGAGAAAAGAAACTGAAGGGCATCAAAAACCACTAAGACAGCAGCAGAAATCTCCAAACAATGAAGTCAAGTCTTGAAAAGTCATGATCTCATGGGGGAAAAAAGGAAATGCAAAGAGGTGAACTTCATATTGCATGCAATTTTGTCACTGAAAGGATTTAATGATTTGTAAGTTGACAATATGGAGCTCTAAACCTGCTGAAATTGTCCATCAAAAATAAAGGTACAATAAAGACATTTAGCAAGGTGTGGTGGTGCAGGCCTATAGTCCCAGCTACTTGGGAAGCTGAGGTGGAAGGATCATTTGATTCCTTGATTCCACAAGTTCAAGACTAGCCTCAGCAGCACAGCAAGATCCTGTCTCAAAAAATAGGAAGACATTTCTAGAAAACGAAGCTGAGTAAACTGATCACTGGTAATGAAATAGTGAAAGGAAAAGTTCCCATAGGAGAATGAAGAGATGCAAGAAATGGACAGTGATGGAAACGGTAAATATGTGGGTAAATATACATTATGACAATGTGAAAAAATAACGACAGTAACAAAAATAATATGAATTTCCTGTGTATTATATGTAGAATTAAAATAGTGAAACTGTACTGAGTTCAAGGGACTTGGAGACTGATCAAGTACCACAAGGTGGCAGTAGCATCGATTTTCACTTAACCCTTTGACAGGTTTGCAACGGAGTGGGAGAGGGGTTGTCAAAGCCTGAGACCCTCCAGAGGCTGGTTGCCAGCTACTACCCAGAAAGGGAGAAAGACAAGGGAACTCCAGGGGAGAGGAGAACCAAACAGCGAAGATATAAATCTATGTGACATCTCTCAGAAGCACAGCAGGGAATCTCTAGGTCAGAGAGCTCTGAAGGGCAGTAGAGTTTTGTTTTTTATTATCCCCCGGTTTATCTTACCTATGGCTAATATATTGTACAGTTTCAGACAGGAATACAAAGCAGGCAGCCTCTAAGTGGCTAAAAACCTGGTTATTCAGGCTATATTTAAAAACAAATTATTGTATCAAAAATTGGCAGGTTTTTGAGCTAACAAATCTCACCTGTTTGAAGAAGTAAACAACATAAGGACCAATATACAGAGGCTAACTCAGGGTCATACACAACAATTCATTCCCTGGCCTCATGTTATTTTACAATTTAAATTGTACATTATTTTGTAGTGCCTAATTTGGGAGACAATGATAGAGCAAAAATGCTTTAAGGGCATAAACTAGGATTTTTTTTTTCATTTTTCTTTTATTATTCATATGTGCATACAAGGCTTGGTTCATTTCTCCCCCCTGCCCCCACCCCCTCCCTTACCACCCACTCCACCCCCTCCCACTCCCCCCCTCAATACCCAGCAGAAACTATTTTGCCCTTATCTCTAATTTTGTTGTAGAGAGAGTATAAGCAATAATAGGAAGGAACAAGGGGGGTTTTGCTGGTTGAGATAAGGATAGCTATACAGGGCATTGACTCACATTGATTTCCTGTGCGTGGGTGTTACCTTCTAGGTTAATTCTTTTTGATCTAACCTTTTCTCTAGTTCCTGGTCCCCTTTTCCTATTGGCCTCAGTTGCTTTAAGGTATCTGCTTTAGTTTCTCTGCATTAAGGGCAACAAATGCTAGCTAGATAAACTAGGATTTTAAAGCCCTTTCACAGCCAGTCTACCCACTTAGTGGGAGAAACACAGGAGAATAGACCATAAAAGGAGAATTTGATTTGATCAACTGTTTAGTCAATAGAATGACATTACGACCCCTTTGATACATATTCCTGGCTATGTATAATATTTGGTGAGTATTGTCTGCATTCAGCAAGACATGCTGAAGTGCACAGACTCCTGCAGCAGCCCATAAGCTATCAGGGGCTATGCATTTATCTACCACCATGGGCCATAAGTACGATGAGATTCTGCCAAGAGCTCCAGTCATTGGGTTGTTTAATTGGTATAAATAACTCCTGTGCATACCTATTTGTATGTTTTTTAATTTCTTATGTGGGATCCTGCATTTGTGCTAGTCCTACTGTTCCCAAAAATAGTGATCATAGGGCAGTGAGCACCACAGGGACCATTAAGAAGACTCATTTGTACAGTAGGAAAGTTGCAGCTAGTGTGGCTTGTGAATGAAAGTACTTGGGGGTTCTACTGGAGAGTAAACATTATTGGAATTTTGAGCCAAAACAAAAGAAACATTTTCCAGAGTTAAAAGTAGAGGAGCAAACTTATGATAGAGGAAATCACCTTCCTCTGCCAGTATTTTGTATGTTCTTGTGAATATTACTGTTTGATGTCAATAGTTAGAGGGAACTTGCTCATCTTGATAAGTGATGTTTGTAGGGGATCTTGTCTAGGAAAGAAGTATTATGCCATGTGTACTAAAATGAGGTTAGCAGAAGCAAGTCCAGTGTGCAGTTAAATTTGCCATCTCATGCTGTGGCTGATGCCATATGCAGGTTTGGGAAATTGAAATTTTTTATTTTGGCAGTACTGGGATTTGAACTCAGGACCCCATGCTTGTTAGGCAGAAATTGAATGTTCTTCCTTGTTTATGTTGGTTTGCACTGGTGCTTGATTTTCCTGATGATTACAAATTGTAAATAACATCGGAGTGTTTCCATGGGCCTGTCATAAGCTTCACAGGAATTCTTGGCAATTTGAAAAAAATTGTCAATTTAACTGTGCACCAGATTATGTCCTGAACTATGGAGCATTCACATATGGGATCCTCACAGGTTAGCCACAGATTTCAAATATGAACACAAATTATATCATACATTTGGCTCATTTCTGTCTGCTTATCATGATGATGCTGTATTTCAGTGCTCCATCATTTCCATTCCCAGGGAAACTTTTCTACAGAATCCATTTGTATAATTTTTAATAGTCTTAAGGGTTACCCCTTGGGAGCTGGCAGTGCCAGAATGCCAGTAGATTTCCTCCCAAGTTAGCTTGAATATCAGCCTTCTCGTTTTGTTTCTATCTCTTGTAAGGTGAGATGTGTATTGAGAGAATGAATACACAAGTGGACAGTGGTTGAAGCAAAGTAAACCTACTCCATATACACCCCAGCTCAGGCACTGCCTGGTCTGTATTGTGAATGGGGAGACATAGGAGGAAAAAAGAAAAATAGAACTCTAACTCACAACTTTTAGCAATCTGCTCAGGAAACCAACCTCCTCACCTACATTAAGCAGCCTGGAAGCTTGCTGTTATGAGTCAGACTTCATAGAATGTCAGATTGTTATCATTCGTAATCTAGGAAGCTATGGAATAACTTCTGTATCAAATGGCCA